TCAGGATTAAGGGGACACCTGGCTAATTCGTCTTCTTCCCAGTGACCCCAATACCCTGTCCCTTGCCTTCCAGTCCAGGGAACTGGTAAGACGTCCGGCCACAGCAGGAGGGCGGTCAACACCCCTGCTGAACTGTGAGCCCATGGAGCAGAAGGTGAAGGCAGAGGTCTACAGATCCTGGAGGGCGATCCTCAAGAAGTGCAGAGAAAGGGATGCTGAGGGGCTTGGAGAAGTCAGTGTGCCTGAGTTCTTGGGTATGTTTTCAGGATGCCTGTTAGATGTTCACTTTCTGTGCACAGTATAGATCCACCCCGATAAAACACAGGGTCACTCCAGCGAGCATGAACACATGATGAATAAGTGTGTGCGGTCCTCAGGAAGAACGTTCTTCAGACAGAAAGGAATCAGTAATGTACAATCGCAGCAGTGTTTACGTGTGTTTTAATGGACGATACTGTATATTTCTAAAAAAAAATATCTGGGGAAAATAATCCCAAGAAATTAAAGACTGTACGTAACATACAGTAGTATGCTGCAAAATGGGTGAAGTGGGCTGTGACAGGAAAACATGCGGTTAATGACGACAGTGCATAGGTGGACACGTACTGTAACACACCAGCTTGTCCAGGGGGTGGCCATGCTTACTGATGGCAGCTTGTTTCTATCGATCACAAAGATTTGATTCATTATGGCTGGTGTAATGATAGTTGTTTGTCATGGGGAATTGTTTTGAGCCTGTTATTTGTGCATTAATATAGTAGTGACTGAAAATGACAGCCAATCAGGACGCAGATAATTCCCAAGTATCCCAGAACTCTGCTGATGTACTGAACCTGCAAATATTTAGCCTGTCGGGGGGGGATAGTACTTCCTTGTAAATGATTTACGTGGTAGTTCTTTGATGCCTTCTGCTTTGCTTGGTGAAGAAAGCTCTTCCATGAGCGTTAAAAGCCATCTCTTTCACACTTGTATGAATACCTCAGCTTGTGTCCACTGACCCTAAATACATCAGGCAAAGCTGATATCCGACCTGAAAATCCATGAAAACTCCAGAAGAGGCTTGCATAAGGAGGGAACATTGTAGCTTTCAGTCAGGCTCCACTCATTAGCCTTGGAATTCATGTGACTCTGTGAACACTCAAGCTCAAACATCTGGTATAGTTGTTTTTCTTCATTGGTCACAGCTGTGATGGAAAGCTGTGACATTAAGATGACCCCAGGAGAGTTTGGGCAGCTGGCGCTGAAGTATGACATGAAGAACAACAGCAGGTTCTCCTACACCGAGTTCCTTCGCCACTTTGTTCTCACCCTGAAGCCACAGGAGAAGAGCCCACTTGCGAGAGTCAGAGTCCAGCAGCCCCGAGTCCTGGTAAGTACTGTAGCAATACTGCAGATGATACTGTGGGTGTGAGTTTTACCTGCAGTGACTTCAGCGAGTGATGTGCTGTTCCTTCAGTTGGCACAAACACTCCTGTTTGTCACTGTGGGATTGTGCAGCGTGTCACACGACCAATTACTCTGCTGGTGGCCATGTCTTGTAGTCTCCCAAGCAGGTCAGATCAGATGTTGCTGCAGGAGGCCTGAGTCTTATTAAGAGCAACGAAGGTGTGATGGTGTGGCAGTCAGCTGTGCTGCCTCACAGCTCTTGGGTTCCAGTTTGATTCTGTCCTGGACTCCTTCTTTGTGGGTCTCCATACTCTCTCCCTGGGCAGTGTGGGTTTCCTGTGTGAGCTCCACTTTCCTACAGTTCAAAGACATGCTGTCCATCTTTCTCGGCCAGACTGTACACTTTGTGTATGCGTGTGCTCTACCATGGACTAGCATCTTGGCCAGGTGTCCTGCCTTGTGCCCCGTGATGAGCTGGTGTCCTGTCCAGAGTGTGTCCTGCCCTGTGCCCTGTGATGGACTGGTGTCCTGTCCAGAGTGTGTCCTGCCCTGTGCCCTGTGATGGACTGGTGTCCTGTCCAGAGTGTGTCCTGCCCTGTGCCCCGTGATGGACTGGTGTCCTGATCAGAGTGTGTGCTGCCCTGTGCCCTGTGCCAGCAGTGTCAGGCTGTGGATCAGTATTGTTCCTGTGTGTGTGTCTTGTGATGGGCTGGTCCAGGGTGTGTCCTGCCTCATGCCCTGTGCCTGCGGGGTCAGACTCTGTCTCATTCCCACAGCACTTGACTTGCCTAGGATGTTTTTGAAAGTGGGTGGAGAATTGGATACAATAAAACAACTGATAATGCCAGAGTAAAAAATCAATACCAGCACTCAATCAATATAGCAGGCTGCAATATTGAATATTGTGAGGTGAAAAACGTATGGATTCCATTTAATGTTCAGAAAACAGTAAGAGAACACTTCTCAGGATTCTGAATTTTAAGATTTGTGTTTTTATGTTTATTCAGTTCTGATTAATTTATATAGTATTTCAATTTTCTAAAAAAATACAACTGAACAGTTAAGACATTAAATGTGGTTAGTGCTGGGGGCGACGGATTTCTTTCCCCTCTCGTTGGGAGCTCTGCAGTTTGCTCTCCGGACCACGGCCAGGTCCTGTCAGACAGCAGTGCTAGGATAACGGGAGGGATGTGTTCTTGTCGTTGAAGAGGAGTCCTGGGACGCCCAGCAGCCCGTTCGTGGAGGCCATGCTCCGGATCCAGGGCCAGGTGCTGCAGGCCTGGAGGCCCATGAGGCAGGCTCTCACATCCTGCGACAGAAGCAGGACCGGCTTCGTCTCACTGCAGGATTTCAGGAAGGTAGGGACTGGAAAACTCCTCTTCCTCTAACTGGCCTCAGCCGGCTCCCTGAGGCCGAACAGAACCCGACACCTGAATTATCCCAGCTCTCCTGCTCTGATTTAACTAGCACTAATGAGGCGGATCGAATTTCCTACAATACTTTGGTAGGTTTTGGAAAAGGTCCTTTGAATCCTTGATACTTGTGGGTGGAGTTAGTGATGAAGACATTTTTAATTTAATCTCCTCCATATACTAGTAGACTTAAATGGAAGATTCTGGATTTTCTCGTCCTTTAATTTGTTTTATAAGAACACACAACAGGTCCAGAAAATATTATAACAAAGTGATCACTTGTATTCTAGAGTGTTATCAAAACTGGTGTTCACACCTCAAAATCACACTTTATTGCTTACACGGACTAATGTTCCCTAAACAGCTCTGGGGCAGTAATTAAAATACATACAGTATGAATCTACAGAAACAACTACCATTATCTTTATCTCGATTGATCATTGATTCTGTAGACTTACAGAACATACTGTAAGACACGTTTTGCCAATGTGCTGGGTACACAGGCTCACCAGCAGAAAGCTCCTGTTGCTGGTGTGCTGTGGACTGAGCCTGAAACATTCTGAATTTGGAGCCAGTGTGTCTCTTCTCCGGTTTATTCCTGTAGGTGCTGAAGCAGCACAGTGTGAACCTGACGGAGGAAGAGCTGTTCCACCTCACCGCCTTCTTCGACAAGAGCCTGACGGAGAAAATACCCTATAATGACTTCTTACGGGCATTTTTAGGATAAGAGCTCCTCCCTTCCCCGAAATAAAATGATTTTATTTTTCGATATATTTTTATCATCATAATAATTTTTTAATTTTTTTTAAATAGAAGTGTATTTTACGTTTTCAGCTGAAAATGCAATGCTGTTCACAGCCAGCAGACAGCACTATTGAACAAGTCTGTCTCTCACCAAGACCCTCTTACAATGCAGAAAGGTTATGCAGTGATGTTTGTTGTAGCTTGGTAGAAATGAAATATATTTTAGGATTAAATTTATAGACTTTTGAGACCAAATGATGAGATTCTAGTTTTTTAAAACTTGATTTCTTATGTTGTGACTTTTGTAATGCGTCTATGAAACTTAATGTCACATGACACTGAAAACTACTTTTCCTCCAAAATATGTGTATGTGAATTCTGTCCTTTTCAGGTTCTGTTGGTTTTAAAGACTGTACAAGGCACTTTACTGCCATGTAAACATGTGGTCAGAAAAAATCCAGCTATAAAGAGTGGACACACAGACAACCCAGAATGTTGAGCATCACAGAAAACTAAACCCTGGTCGAGGATAAATTGGAATGAAAAAAAAAAACATTGGCCGACAGACTATATTTCTTTCATTTATTGGTATGACGATGTACACTTTGTACTTTAACTATCTGATGGTAATGGAAGAAGCGTTAATGATTTATGTAAATTTTGAAAGAAAAAACGTTTCGCTAAATACTTGCAATTAAAATGGAATTCTATTGGGAAAAATCTAATTCTAAGTGACATTCAGTCCCACAACCAGCATTTCTTATACACAGAGAAATAAGATCAAGCAACCAGTACTTGGAAACCTCATTCTGAGAAAAGGCAGGAGATGGATTCTAGAATAAAAGAGTTTGACCACTATACAGTGCAAATGCACGACTGCTCAAAGCAATTGCAAAAAAGCAAAACAGCAGAAACATACATCTCATTTTAAAAAAGAATAAATTTGCCTGTCGTATGTATTCAAACTAGATATTTTTCAATGTGCACAATATGTATGGCAGATCATTATAAAAATTGTCAATGTTGTTATAAGGATTTTTACATTAAAGCAATATTGGCCATAGTATAATAAAAAGAAAACACTCAACACATTAATATTGCCAAAGGAAAAAGTCTTTTTTTGACTTCAGAACAGCATGCCCCAACAAACCAGAAACACAACAGCAACAAACACATTTGGTTACCAAAGAAAGTGGAATATATAGAGGAGCTGTACAGAACTGCGTAACGAAACTCCACAATCTACACAGTTCAGTATTCAGGCAATTCAGTAAAAGAAAATATACAATCAAAATGCATTTTCAGGTATACACTCACATCATTGTCATTTTAATAGAAATCCTAAGAAAACATTTATACACTTTCTCTGCTAGATTTTTGCATCGCCGGTGCATCTGCTATGACTACAGCAGCTGCTCAAGACTCCCGGCTCTTACTCTGAAACCCTCTCGCCTGCTCTTCCCGGTTCCCACAACTTGCCGGACGGAGCCCACTGGCTGCACTGGACCAGCACAGAGAAGATGCAGGAGGGGAAAAAAGAAAACCAGTTTCCCTTCAGTGGGATTGCACGGTTGTGTGGAACCAGAACTGGCAAGCTATTGCTGTGCTTGCACTTTAAAAGGGACAGGATCAGCAGTATTTACAGTTTTTTTTTTTACGACGTGCACACCCAACTGGGAAATGAGAAGCAGGAGCTGTAGGCATGTGAGCCTGACGCGCCCACCCATCAGAGCAGTTCGTTCAGGAGGCCCACGGGCTCCAGAGCACCCTGCAGGAGAGTCAGCCCTGATTGGCAAACCAGTGCACCCTGCACTCTCGTCACAGCCAGGCAGACAGCCAGCCGGCACCTGGCAAGTTATGGGACCTACTGCACCACTGCGAGACTGGCAGACCCTGGCCCTGCCCGCGATTGAAAGGCACCAACTGCTGCTCAGGGCATCCCAGTCACTCTCAGCTTAAGCCATGATCCAGCAGCCACCAGGATCATTCCAATACACAGCACTGAGTTTTCAGCTGGGGAGGGGGTGAATTAAGCTCTGCTCGCTGCTGAAGAAAACACTGACCCAAAAACCCCCAAAAAGACATCAGTTATTACATCTAAGTACATGCCAGACATATTACATTTTGTATTCTACCGAAATACATCCAAGAGCAGTGATTCTGCTATGACTATATTTTTTGTGTTAAAAAACCCAATTATTTTATGGCTTAAATATAAGCAACTGTGTTATTCGTCTAACTTGTGCGAAGAATGTCACTTCAAAACAACATCCATGTCATTTACTCATTACCAGGTACTGCTCTTTTAAAATTCAGCTCTTGGTGAGAATTCATTGACCAATGAGCACTTAGCAATCTACTAAAGCGATTTCGTTTGGCAAGACTTACAAAAATTCTCTGATGAACTGCTACGTTCTACATTTCTGAAATATTTTACAAGCCAATTTACCTTCTGCAGTGGATGCCCTTTTCTAACTTTAAAAACCGGATTAGGATTGAAGCCCAAACTGAGCTGGTCTGGTAGTGCAGAAGGCACGGGAGCTGTTTAACTGAGTCCACAGAGAGAGGCCTTTGAAAACAACATTCAGATCCAGGAACCAGGTGGCTGGCTTGAGGATAGTCCTCCGAAATCTGTTCACTGGTGGTGGCTTGGTCAGCAGAGACAGGGGAAATAACACCAGGAGGGCAGGTGCCCCTGCTTCAGCACACACACACCTCTCGTCGCCTCTACAGCAACATCAGAGACGTGACTGTGCTGCGGAAACGTCATGGTGTGCTCCCATCCTCTTTAATTTGTGCAATTTATTCACTGTGGCTTTCTTAGACTCCAGGACTCTAGCTTGTTTTCATGGCAATACACTTGCTATGCATTCTGGGCCACTGAACTGTCCTGTGTGTATTCATTCTGGCCATTCTCCAGCCAGATAGTTTCTTTTTCTTCTGTCTGCTTTCCACCGTGTGGGATTAATCTCTGCATGGTTTTTTTTCATTGTAGTTATTTTATTGCATTGATGCCTCTGAACCACCATCTTGCATTAAAAATGCCCCAGTTCTGGAGGAAAAACTGATGTTAAAAGTTACATTAGTTATATAACATTACCTTTCTCTTTTGCAAACGTGCAGCCTGCATGGCCACACAGTAAATGCACGATGGTACAAAGAACTGCGCTGTTGCACAGTCTGGGGAAACGCCAATCTGATACAAACCTTGGCTGTTTTTAAAGGCGGAGAAGCCCATTTCCAGTTGCCTGTAGTGATTCAAAGCCAGATTTCCTCAAGATGGGTGCTTGCTATCTTACACCCTTCACTGCACCAGTCACTTTTCAGTCAATTGCATTACTCTGATATCACAAGGAAATTCAGTTGCTCTGCTCCATAAACAAGTCACGAATCAAGAACCACACAAAATTCCAGCTGCTGCAAACATGTGCTTTTTCCCCTTAATTAGAAACACACACGTCACACACACACACACCTGAGCGACAGCTAATACCTGCACTGTTATATAGTCAGAAAATAGCACTCTAGAGCTCTGTTTCTGTTTGAGTGGTTATTTTAAAGTTGTGAAAAGATGTTCCAGAAACTATCCTTTTCCCAAATGCAATTACATTCTTAACAATAAAGGGTAAAATTGAATCGACAGGGACCTTGCAAGGTTCACCATGCGCACCCTGCTGGTGTGACAGAGGATCTGCTGTGCAGGGCGCCCAGCTCTGGAAAGCTGGCAATGTTACACTGTGATGGATGATGAAAGGCTGAATACTTGAGCTTATTAGGCACAGAGAAATTACTCCAAGAGCAAAAACAGGAGCCTGGAACTTATTTTCAAAAGAATTGGAAGCTAAGAGAAACTTTTAATGAGCCTTCAGGGAGACGCGTCAATGCGTTTGACATTGTGTTGAATGGAGCCCTGTGGCAGCTCCTGCCCAGTCCCTGACTGCTCTGATCTGTACGTTCTCGGCCTTTAATGGCATGAGGCTCAACGAAACCTGAACACAGGTCTAATTCTAAGAAGTGCAATATGTAGCTTTGCACTTAGGCAATTTAAAAGGAGCATTTATTTCCAGCCATCTATGGCACTGGGGAGTCGTGCACAGTGCTGTGGATTCATTCAGACTGGCCCAGCTGGGTCTGTCACCTGTGCAGAGCTCTGGGAATGTTGCAGCGAAACGTGCGTTTTCACTTCCTGCGGGGCTGGGAGCTGGAATGATCGACACCACTCACGTCTCTTTTCACATCAGTGCACAAGACTTCCCGTGAATTAGACGGAAGCCGCTGTCATTCATGGCGGCTGTCTCTTGGTCTCAGTCTCCTGTCGGATCGCCTGGGAATGCGCGCTCCCTTTTAAAGACACGAGCTCATCTGCATGGTGCCGCTGCCCTCCGGCGCATTCCGGGCGGCTGCGCGGAGAACAGTCAGATCCGGGCCCGGCCGCGCGTGGCGCGCACACAGAGCTGCGCCGTGCTTGTGGTGTCACCGCGCTCTGAGGGGATGCAGGTGTTCATGCATGTCAACAACGTAAAAAAACAGAATAAATATGAAAAAGCACATTAACACGTAACCTGTGTTACAAAGCTGCCATGTGAAATGCTCATACCACTGTGACTGAAAAGAAAAGGCTTCCAGCAGTCCCGATCACTTGCAGTCGCTATTAAAGATTGTCAGCCGATTTAAGTGCTACAAAAAAGAATACAAATACCGAAACATCCGTTTTCACTGGACCGCACCCCTCAGGCTCCGCGCCCAACTGCCCACAGGAGACACGACAGCACACAACACTGCACATCTACTGCTACATGAAGCTGAGGCGCAGCGGACCCCCAGTTCGTATTTACACCCCCCCGCCCCTGCAAACCCAGCTGCCTCGTCCGGCTCTGGCCACAGGAAGGACGTCCCGGTCACGTGCTCCTGGGGGTCGGCAGGTCGATGACGATGGGCGGGTTCATGGGCTGGAAGTTGACCGTGCAGGCCGAGCCGTTGACGAACGTGGTGGCGCCGTCGGTCATCACGCCGTAACCTGCCGAGCACAAAGACCAGCGTCCTCACCCCCGCGCTGCGAGAGCCCACGCAGATTCGCCGCTAACACGACGAACCGTGCGCCAGCGTGTGTGCCAGCACTTCGTTTTGTGCTGCGTGTATATTAAAGTATTTATAGCGATTCTGTTGACCAATACTTAGACATTAAACTACTTCAAAATTACTCGCCTAATTAAATCTGTAACAATAAGCTGTTCATTCTGCAGGAGTTGTGAACAATTTATCACTTTAAAATGCTAATGATTTGCAACATAATTGAGCACCAATACTAATGCATGAATCTGTCTGCTCCCTTCCTTTAAAGGGCCAATCCTTTAAATCCAAATCATCAGGAAATGCCCCAGTCACAGTGAAGACCTGCTCCACTGTTTCTCCCAGCAGCTGGTGAGAGGGACAGTCTGTCCCTGCACACGGGGGACCACAGCGAAACGAGGTGTGTAGTAACGCCCCTCTGCAGCGCATCGTCTGGCCTCCTGATCAATACTCACTTACAAGGGAAAAACAGGAAGAAGGGGAAAGCGCTGGCAGGACAGGGAAACTGCAATAACTTCAATGTTGCGAAAACCCCAGTACTACTATCATGAGGTATCCAGCAGCATGTCGATATCGGCGCAGCCTCAGTGTGAAGTGGGAGCGGTGCGGCCGTGAAACTGCAGCCTGACGGACTGTACTGGCGCACAAGGAAGCCGCAGGGGCTCAAGGTCTGGGGAGTGCAGAGCCCTCACGCAGGGAACCCACTCGCTTCCCTTTCCCACGCGGGCCAGGCACCAGCAGGGAGAGAGAGGGGGGTGGGAGCAGGACACTGGGTCCACTGAATCATCACGGCCTGCCTGGTGTGTCGCCACGTGCCCCCGTGCCGCTGAGACACCCTAGCGGGCCTGTTCGGAGGAGGAGGAGGCCTCTTGCCTGCGCGCGGCCAGGCTTGGAGCGCTCCCTGCCGAGGCAGAACTGCGTGGGCGGGATCGGCAGTGACGGAGCCATGCAGATTACTGGCTTGGACCAGCCACCTGCTCCGCATGCCTTGCTGTCTTTGTTTCGCAGGGATCCCAACTGCCACTACCAGACGGACTGTCACGACGTCCTCTGTGTGGCAGATGTGGGACATCTGCCGCTGGTGTGGCTTCCTGCGCTTCCCATCTGAGGGATTCGTTCCACTAATCATGTTACCTGTGATTGGGAAAGTGTGCCTCTCTGCCGGGGTGCTTATTAGCACGAGCAGTAGCTGTTGCAGGATGTTCCTGTCTAGAGCGCAGTACAAAAACACAAGATCAGCACGATCACCAGGTCCGTCCTGTACAAGGCAGCACATATTTCCTTCCGCTGCGTTTACTGAGGAAGTGAGGCCATCCGGGCCCTTTCACCTCCGCCTTCATCCGGAGCCGAAACTGTGTATTCCCCCTGTAACACGGGAGTACGTCCGCATTGGGGCTCCCACCCTCCAAACACAGATCACCAGCTCGGCTCTTGGTGGTGGACTTACCACTGAATAGCAGCAAAAAGCCCCTAGCAGACGGAACGCCACCATCGCGGACTAAATGTGCAGTTTGCAGCTTCCAGGCTGGTTAAGTTCTCACTTAATCAGGGTGTCGCTCATCTTTCCCTTGTGTGTCACTGTATCCCCTGCAGCTTTCTGCAGGGCTCTGCTAATGTTGTGTAATTAATTCCGAAGCTCTCTCTAAACTGGTTTGTGTGTGTAGACTCGGAGTACAGAGAGTGAAAAGTCAATATCTGCTACATCTGAAGTTTTTCTGGGAGAAATCTCCCTTGTTTTTTTTTTCCCTTGTAGTTTGCTCAAATTATAATTCCGATGAAAGAGAGGATGAATATAAAGAGATAGTGTATTTAATACTTTTGTATTAACTGGCTTGGCTGAGAAAATGCCAGTACTGGCCAAAGAACCCTCCCTCACTTACAAGGAATGAACCAAGGAGACAGCTGCAAAGGTGAAGATGGGGGGGAGGGGAATTACAGAAAATGTGTGCTGATTTTGAGCAGCTGGCAAGCTGAATTTATGTAGGAGAGCCTAACTTAGTTAAGAGAGTGTGAGATTACAGTAGGATCTCCTCCTGAACATCTGTTAAATAACACCATATATAGTAATTAATTAGTTCAATTTGACTTGATCTGCTGTTCACAATACACATGTAAGAAAGTTCTTTACCTTCATGAATATGCCCAAACACATGAAGTTTCGGTTGTACTCTTCTCTGAACCGTATTTAGCAGTTCCATGCATCCAACGCGCTGCATTTTCTTCGGAACCCAGTCCAAGAAACCTGGATTGAATTGACAGTTATAGACCAACAATATTATTTCAGAGCTGGGGATTTAAAATCTGGTCACAGTTCAGCAGGCTTAAAGCTTTCTATCAGCACCTGCTTTGGAGCTAAAGAGACTTACAGAAGACTTAGCAGAGTTTGAGGATGGAGCTCAGCTCTTGAGAATGTAGCTGCAGGTCCCCACTGATGACTAGCTACTGAACAAGCCAGGCAATACTGAGGAGCCCAGTACAACATTTTCATTTGCAAGAAGTTAATTTTCCTGTCAATGAACATACATAAAAACTGCTGGTATTGCTAGATACCTATTGTATCAGTAATATTAGAAATAATAACATTTTAATAGAGGCCTTTAGAGTATTTTTATGCAGCGTACAATTTCATTAGCGTTATCTACTGAATCTGTTTATTATACGGTTCAGTTAAATTTCCTATCAAGGAGGACTGAGGTTGGGGTTGCGGTCAGGATAAGTTTTAAAGCTCAGGATAGAACCAGTGGTCAGTTAAAAACAAACTGTATAGAAGGGTCTCACGATGATGACCTGGGGACCCCTCTATACAGCAGGACGTTTAACTGGAGTAATGTTGCTGTGAGTGAAGCTTTCTGCTCAAGGGTTAAACAGCAGCACCACACCTGGGATTCAAACCCACAACTCTCCCTTCTACAGCCCTGACCTCTCCTCCACACTGCCAGCCGACAATCAAGACTGGACTAATGGTGCGACTAAGGAACTGTTACCAGTTCTGCCAGCTTTGTTTCTCCATTATTCCTGCCTTAAGATTAAGATGCCCACAGTTTGTATTAAGGTTGTGCTCCTGGGGATGACAGGATAGCTCTGCTGTGTGGATTCTCACCTGTGTGTCTTTGAAAAAGGAAATACCCTGCATTTTGCCAGGGATAGATATGTGTGTTTATACAGCATAAAACAGCTAAGAACACTACAAGCTGTTTTTGTTTATGGGATCAGCAACAGTTGTCTTTAAAAAAAGGCAGACATAATGTTTTAAAGCCATAGACTAGGCTGGCTGTGTGAACTGGAGTAAACCAGTTCACATTATATTTCATTTTTCATAAGTAGTACTGGGCTTGAAAGAATGGAGAACACCATCAGGCTACCCAGTTTGAAGGAGTCCTTTGAATTAAAAAAGTAACTCAGATACACAGTATCTGCTAATTGGATGCTGATCAGATTCCTTAGGGGAATCTCCTACTCTGACATCCTGAAGGAATGGTTCCATTCACATCTCAGAACAGAGAAGACTGCGAGGGGACATGATACACCTATTCCAAAGCCTGGAGGGCGTCAACACAGGAACCACAACCACAGGGCACGCATGGAGACTGCAGGGCGGTGCATTCATCACTGAGAACAGGAGGCACTTCTTGAGACAACTGGGCTGGGCGAGTGAGGAACCACCTGGAACAATCCATCAGCTGATAACTACTAACCAGAACCAGGCCAGACGGCTGAGCTGACGTCTCCTTTGTAACGGTTCTTTTGCTCAGATACACTGAGGTGGAAGCAGGGAATCGACAGGAATCACCTCAGCTTTTCAAACAGCATTTATCCTACAGCTCTGCTCTACACATCGCCCAGCATCACATCAGGAAGCAGTGCGACAGCAGCTAATAACATGAGGCTTTGGCTATTGCTGCAGTGGTATTGCACAATTTATAAGAGGGTTAAAATGTTGGGATTTCAGGAGTTGAATCCCCACTCTTCAAGCTTCTGCCCCTCTTCCTCTGCAGCGCCCTGAGTGTAATAACAGCCCAGAACTGCTGGGCTGCAGACGCCGGAGCTGCTTTTCATGCACTGCTAGTCTTCTGAAGCTTCTCCATATGCCCAAGTCTTAGGAAGAGCTCACTGCAAACACTTGGCTACACAGAACAGAAAATTACTTATCGTGCTTAAGTTAGCTACAAAAACAGAAACAAAAAAACACAACTGGAAAGCGATGAGATATTTCGACAGCCAGGCGATGAGGGTCAGACTGCAGGAACGGGGTGTAAAACCCCAGGAAACACCCCGAGCCCCCAGCCCACGCAGCGGGGCAGAGCAGATCACTGCAGCCCCTGAGCCGGTGAACCCCCAGCTCCGTGACCGGGGTCACTGGCTGTTTCCTGAGAAGCAGGAAAGGCTAAGATAGATCAGATCACTTTATTGGCCAGATACAATTTCTTGCATTAGGAATTTGTCTTTCTGCAGACCCCAGCTTGCTCTTCATGAGACACACAGATAGGGAGAGGAGCTGGGGGTCAGAGCGCAGGGTCAGCCATTTATACAGCACCCCTGGAGCACCTGGGGTTCAGGTTCAACGGAGTAGGATTCCTCTGCCGGCCGCGGGATACGAACCCGTCTTTGACACTCCAGTTTATATACATACTGTATGAGAGAAATCCCTCAAACCGCCAGAGCCCCCCGAGAGCGCCCCGCGGCTCGCTTACCCAGCGGGGGGCAGTGCGTGATGAGAACGTCCGTGGAGTCGGGGATCAGGTTCCACTTGTCCAGCAGGGCCTGTCCTCGCGGCAGGTTGAACCCCCATCCGTAGTACCAGGGCTGCCTGTCGGGGACGAGAGCACACGCGTGAACACGGAGACGAAGGCAAGGCGTTCCCGCCCCCGGGGAGCCTGGGACCTGCTGGCCCTTTTCAGAGGAACAAGACTTTGAAGACCCTGCTGCTCCAGCAGCTCTGCGGAGAGGCCGTCGGGCCGGGGAGGTTGAGCAGGAGCGGCTGGACAGGACGAGGGAGACGGCAGGGCCAACAGCAGCTCTGCTCGAACAGCAGGGGGCGATAGCTGCTCGACCTGACAGACGGCCCAGCGGACCTTGGAAATCCTACAGCAGTTCGTCTCTGAAGAGAGAAGCGAAAGACTCGGCGACCTGGGCTGCACACTACTGCACACGGCCTTGGTCTCTGGCCGCTAGGAGAGCCTTCTGGCAGCCACAGGCTTGTAAAAGCACACATTCTTACAACTGAAAAGCCAAACTGGCTTCTGTGACACTGTACAGTACGTAGGAGGACTTCACTGCTCTGGGAAAAATTCCCTTCTTTTTCCCAGGCGGGGAAGTGTGGGAGGCACAGATCTGAGACGCAGAGACACTGTGACCCCGCACTCCCCTCCCACAGCAGCCGGGAGGAACTGTGCAGTGATGGTCATCGGGGATTCGGGGGGACCTGCCCTAAATACCTGCATCACCTCCGTTCTGCTTGAGCTACTCCTCCTGAGCCATAAGGAAACCTGGTTTCCGTGCGAGACGAATCCAGCAGGGCTGTCATGTTTGAGCGCACGCTAGGTAGTGGAGTTTGCTTGATTAGGATTAAGCATTCTGAGTCTATTAAAATCAATTTGTGGAAAAACACGAACACCGAAAGCCTCGCAAATCCTTTGGAATATTTATTTGACAAAAACCGGCGTGCAGTCAACTGATCTTTTTTGATGAATCGGAGTCCAAGTGCAGATTAGATTCTGAGAAGAGTGAGTCACTCTGGCAACAGCTCGACAACTAAGCAAGTGGCGGCGATGGAGAAACAGGAGACAGCTGGCTATGAAAATCCTTAAGCAAGCCTCCGATGAGATGACTTTGTCTGGTTTTGTACAAACGTGACTGGCGGTGCCAGTCCCCAGAGCTTTCCCCTGCTATAGTGTATAGTGAATGGGGGGTAATTGTGCTCTGTAACACAACATAAGTTTTGAGTTTGCAGATGATCTTTTACTAAGATAAGAATCAACACCCTAGGCCTGCAGCAGCCCAGCTCTGTTCTCTGTAAAAGGCTATCAGCACTGCTGGAGGAGCAGGTCGCTATCCTGTCCTGGGCTACTGCTCTCTCCACACGCTGGCTCCTGCAGTCCGGACCCGCGGGCTGGGCTCTGACCCAGGCCCAGAGGGGACGAGCCCGGCTCGTGCCGCTAGCCGGCGGTGCCCGGGATGGCCCCGGTGGGCCGCTGCCACGCTCCGGCCACAGGCAGCGCGTTAGTCCGGCTCGGCAAGCAGGCGTGCCAGGGGGGCGCAGTCTCTGCCCCACGCCCTGCCATCGCTGCAGAGAGAGGGCGGGATGGAGTCCAGCCTCACGAGTCACCCCGACCCCCAGCTGGGTCACCCCGACCCCCAGCTGGGTCACGTGCCCAGGCTCAGCTGCGGCGAGTGGCGCCCCCCGCCGATACCCATTTCCTCGCGCCCGCCCCAGCGGCGATGCCAGCCTTCAGGGGAACAGGCGCCTGCTGGAATTCCTTGTTGCCCATCAGCTTGCTTACAGGCGCGACAAGCTTGACGGACAGTGTAGAAATGAACACGCCACTAACAATTCCACAGCAGATCCATCTCCCGGGGCCGCGCTAGGCACTCGCTGCTGCCGGTTGCGAGATCTCGTGCAACTGGCTGTTTCATCTGCAGCGTGCAGTCGCTCGTCACTGGGATTGTTAACTGGGACGCCTCCTGCTGCGCGGACTCAAGCGGTTTTATTCTCCCCCCACTCTCGCAGGGAGGGCTGCCTGCTGGACTGGGCCCCCGGCCGTGGGCCTCGGCGCTCCTCTCCGCTGTCCACAGCAAGACTTCAGCCACAAGATGTCGGGGGCCTCTTCCAGCTCTTGCTGCAGATGATGTTTTAGTCATGTAATAAAAAAGCACTCAGCCATCTCTGCTCGAAGGAATCGTAATGTGACCATCAAGGCACTGCGCACACCGAGCAGACGCACACACTCCCCTGTCCTCTGCACCTCAGGCCCAGAGCAGCTGCTTGCCGTATTCACAACGACAGAGACAACCTTTTGTCTTTATTCCTTCACAGTCCCTATGAGAATCAGCGCAAGTAGCTAAATGACTCACTTTTTCTCATTAATTGAAGTGCTTTATTGGTGTAGGCAATCTAAGAGGAGAAAAGAGGGTGTTCAGGTTTAAAAGTGAGCTGGCCGGCTGGGACGTCCCAGAGGAAAAAGACACTACTGTACACCCGCAGGTGTGTCTCTGCCCCTGTGACGGCAGGGAGTCGGGCAGAAGGCTCCTCGCTGTTGCACAATGTGCAAAGATGCTGAGGCTATTATTTTAACAGCCACAGCACACCAAATGAAACATTTCTCAAAAGCAAAATCGGGTTTGAAACTGTAAAGGTAAAACAGAAGTCTTATGATCTTAATGAACACAGCCCTGAGTCAAAGATGCCTGCTGTATTTCACGATCTGATGCAAAAGTTTCTAATGGGGACAAGTTCTGAGCTGCTGGTGCATTATTTGGTAAGAACAGTCCACTGGGAGGCCTGATCTGACCTATTTTGAAGCCTCATTTATTGCCACTTAATATTCAAATATTTTGCGTATCAGAGGGAAGTCGAAACATTACTCAGGAAATGACTGAAAGTTTGTGAGGATATTTTGGTCATGATTAAGAGTTCCTAAAACATTTAAGCAACCCTTAATATATTAATAGCTGTTTTGAAATATTTATGGATCCTTCAGAAAGTTAAAACCTCTCAGGCTGTTTTATGCTGCATCCCGCAGATTCAGTTTGAATTTTTCAGGAAGGCCGTCACACGAGGGACAAAGAGGAGCTCCGTGCCCTCGCCGCCCGCCGTTCAGGCAGGGGGTCCCGAAGGGCTAGACTGTAGCCCTGCCGTCTCCAGGCCAGCAGGGCGAGGGCAGGGCCTCCGCGGGCTGGCCATTGGTCAGTGTGGCCGTTGTGGCCTCCGGTAGCCCACAGGCACCGCAAGACAAGTTGCTTTTAAACTGAAACCTTGGATATACCGCACAAACTAAGTAAACCTTCTCCTGTTTGAAATCTCGAGGTGTCAGTCCCCTCGACACAATGCACTGCAGGAAACGCACTGTGACAGAGGTATGCTTGGGGTCATATCAGGTCAGCGATGGCTGGACCACAGGGCTCAGTCTGCCTTCTGACTGGCCCCACTGAGAAGCCACTGGTTAACCCACTGGTTTGGGCAGGAAAGCTTCTGCCATCCTATCTGTGTGAACAGCAGATCATAACCTTTACACATGACTTGACAGGGGAGTCCGAAATTATTCCGAAACGACACCAAAACTGCGAAAAACGACCCGTCGCTCTCAGGCACACGATGTTAAAGAATATACTAACACACTAACACATCTTTCTATCGCAGGCCAACCCACAGGTTCACAGAAGACTGCAAGGTCTTACCCTCCCCATGAGCCCCCCTGCTCTGTTCCTCAGCCATTCAGAGCCTCCGCTCGTTCAAGCAGCACACAACACGTACCCCACTGGGACAGCCCCTTCAGCGGCGAGGAGACGCAGGGGCCTCCGCTCACAGCCTGGGCCCCTGCGTCACAGGAGCTGCAGGCAGAGCCCGTCCAGCGTTCCCACACGCGAGGCTCCTCGGCCAGAGCTTTCTGTTCACCCCCAGAGTGACACCGCAGGAGATCACGTCACAGGAAGTCAGACTCTGGAACTTCATTACATCTAATGAAAACCTCACAAGCTGAACGAATATCAATAAAACGGAACTGATGTGATTAAGAGTAAAACATGGCTGGACAGGACATGAACCTGGTGTCATTTCTTCAGTTAGTACAGAACTGCAGTGTCTCAATGTGGTCAGCGTAAATCTTCAGCAAAGGCTTTTCTCAACAATTCAATCTGACCGCTAACATCAAATCTTTTTTTTTTCTATCGACATTATCAAAAATCAGGAGAGCACTTTTCGTTTTAAGACCAGCATTTTTAAGCCATGTTTTGTATCGGTGGCTTGCTGGTTTCTACGGAGACCAAGCCGACAAAAAGGAACATGGTCCCATGGTCCCACATCAGCTACGGGAGGGTTTCTGACTTTTCAGAACATCCTTACCAGTATGAATTGAAATGCATGTTAAGGAAGCTCCCATCTGGCTGTGCTCACCCAACCCCACAGTTTACAGCACGTGTAAGGAGCTCTACTCGGCTGTTTAATTTCTGCACACTTCTGCTCAGCTAGTCTCCCCTGCTTCAGGTTCTACCTGCCCCCGATTCTCAGGGACTATCACTTGCTTATCCGTAAGCCATCCCCAGCGCAGTTCTGGCCTTGTGCTTTGGATCGTTGTCCTGCCGAAAGGTGAGTTTCAGGTCTGAAGGGAGTTTCGCAGTACTTTGCTCCATCTGGACCGTCTTGACAATGTTCAGTCACTGCTGGCTCATGGTGGAATCCCTAACCAGTGTCTTCCCTCATGGTCAGTTTGGAAGGACAGCCTGATCTTCAGGTGTCTTCCACCTCTTAATGATCAATTTCTGAAAGAGAAATCAGGGGTCTTGGCAATGTTTTTATGCCTTTCTCCTGACCTGTGCCTTTTATCACGCTGTTATTTTGTAAACTCTTAGGATTTCATGGTTGAATATTTGCTTTAAATTCACTACCTGACGGAGAGACCTCACAGAGACGGGTGTATTTATTCTGAAATCTTATGAACCATTATTACTGCACACAGAAAGAGGCCTCCTAACTAACTGAGTGGCTCATTAAGCTCATTTTATGCACGTGATTTAATTTAGCAAAGGGTTTGAACACTCATGCATGACTTTTCCATTTTTCTTTCATGTTATCTGTTTACTTCTATTTGTTCT